AGTTTCGGTATCCGCCCTGGCGGCCCACTGAGGGCGCTGGAGCCCCACAGCCAAGACCAAAACCGCGCATTCACACGCGCTAGACCGGGACTTCTGCTAATATGTGCTCATTTCCACCGTTTAGCTACTCGCTTATCATCCGTATGCTTTGCCTACAACCCTTTCGCGTTTTCCCCTCCTTTCTTAGCGTCATAAGTTTGCTCAGGCCAATACCATCAGGGCAGTTGCTCCCCCTTCTCTCCTTTCTCCTTTCTTTCCTCTTCTTCTTATCATCCTTCTCTCTCTATTCCTCAATCGTAGTTCTCTCGTAGTTCATTCTATTCTTCTTCCTTTCTTGGGTATGCGCCGACCGTAGTCTTCAGCTCGAAAACGACTCCTTTATTCGACAATTGCTCTATGTGAAGCGTGATCGATAATCCATTCACGCTGCGTGCCATATTCGTCAATCAATACCATCTCGACGACGAAGTTCATCCCAAGTTACGCCATGTGGATCGATATCGACCGCCTTCCGTCTACTCCTGTCCGGTACATCTACACCCTAACAACTCAAGGCATGTCATCAGCCGCCTTCGTACGTGTGGACCAGAAGGATACGACGGAATCAATACGAACATCAATCGATCCCCATTACGACAGAGGGATATAAGAAGAAGCACAACTCCATCAGTGCTCACGACACGCAACCGCCAATGGACGACTCGACTCACACTTCACTTTTCGATCCAGTAGTGGCACAACCATCGCCACAGTCAATTCGCCGCTTACGGATACATCACGTCGCTTCGAACTTACCGTCAACGGAATCAGGATTTTTCGACCCGCGTCGGAAATGGATGTTCTTCTCTCGTCACTACGATCAATACAACCTTGTTGATTGTAGCCTTCAACATCTAGCAGGACATCACTCCAATCCTATTTCCTTCGTCCGCTTCGATCACCATCGCCGAAGCTACAGTTCGATAGTCGTACGCGCTGTTTCTGTAAGCCATGTCTTCAGCAATCGTCGATGCCGCCGACATTCACCTACTCCGTCAAGAAAACCTTCCTTTCGGACATTTCAACTCGACACGACTGTTCGCGCTGCAGTGGAAGTCATCACCATCTCTCGTGTGCAATCGCATAGAAGAAGCTTCCATCAACTCCGGATAGAACACTCTATCCCACTCTTCTATTCGACGCAATGCACGAGCCGTTCTATCTCTCATTGTGCAGTCAACGGACTACGTTTCGACCGTCATGTTCGAATCGACACGGACTACAGAGTAGTTGGATACGATGAACATCTCCCACATTGACGATTACGAAGATCACCCTCACTATACGCAACAAGATCAGCGTTTAATCCAGTCTGATGTATATCCTAGCAGACATCGACCATCAGGATATCATGACCCGGATTGTCTTCAGCCATCTTCGCCAAGCTAGTTTTCTGTCATGTGCATCCTGGTCCAACCATATTCCTTTTCAAGTCCTCTGTGGCCCATCGTCAACAACGTCGACTAGCAAGAAGACACTTGGACGCTACAACATCTGAAGGATACAGTGAACGATGGATGCGCTCTATGTGTAACATCTTTGGAGACCACCTTCTCGAAGGTTAGCGGAAACACCCTTCTCCATCATCGACAAGTAGAGATCCTTCGTCATTCAACATCGGATCACTCGCTTCGTCACCATCAAGGAGAACCTGAACCTGAGAGGATATCCCCACTATGCCTATCCATCTACACTTCCCTGGAACCCTTCCACGTCCTTCCCGTTTGTCTTCAGCTTGTTGCTCTGCCACACGATTCTATGGTCAAGGACCCATGTACACGTCGTCAGAAACTAACGCCAAGACACTCCGACCCGCTACAGTTCCGTTCTACGTTACGGCATCGCATCTCCCGTGTGCAGTTCCACCTTCTACGCCGTACTACATCTCTGTGAAGAAGTGAAGGACAATGTCTACGCCGACAACATCATATTGTGAGCGTCCGCGTCGCAGTTCGAACTCCATGCCGTTACGACGAATCGAAGCACTTACCGCTTCTACGAACATCGACTTACGACATCTTCGATGCTACGACGCTAAACAATATTCGCAATCGTACGACATCTTCTTCCTCATCTTCTTCTTCGAGAGTGAATGGAACTATGTGAATATCCTTCGTTCCTACTAGGATCACTCGCGAGCTAATCTTCGAGACGCATTACGCTCAGAACATCTACCTCGACCTTGATCCACCACATGCCTCCAGACATGTACGAATCCATCATCAGGATCATCGTTCGAGGCCGTGAAGATCACTCGCCAACATCAGCTCAATTTGCCATGCCTAGTCCTCAGCAGGAGAGCGTCAACATCAACTTCCTCTCCGCCGGACTAGTTTCGATTGTGTCGTCAGCTCGTTGTTCAACGAATGGATTTCTCCTCGCGACTCTACGACCATCAGAGCAATCCATGCCAACACCATCTTGGACAATCTTGCTCAGGAGTTCTACCTGCACTTCGTCTCTGCCTACAACATCATAGGTGCAGTATATTACATTCTGTTAGAACTCACCTTCGACACATCAACGACTATACCCATGGACCAACAACATCCAGTCCGCAGATCGTTTCGACATCGAAGTACACAGAGCAACCTTGTCAATAGGAATTCTACCTCCTTATAGCGAAGAAGTTGTTGCAGTCATCCATGCAATAGCAGCCTCGCCAACGAAGGTCATCAGCAGTCATTCGTCTACCATCCTATACGTATGACTGTATGTCCCGAAGCGCTACTGTCTGCTCTCTCAACAGCAGTCACGTACAGAGGTCAACGTAACATCTATATCCTCTGGAATTAGCGCCTAAGAACAACCGCAGGCATTGCTACGCAGCACCTCAGTGTGCCCAACAGCCATGACCCGTCAACTCTCTTCACTTCTATATAAGGATGGATCGGACAAGTCACTCTACTTCGACACGTCGCCATCTTATCGTTCATTTCCGTTCCTTTAGCTGTTTTTCGCCCACACTTTCAAGTCCATCATCGATGGGATACCCGATCAATATCAGCACTTATGCTTCGTGTTCTCTATCGACGCGCAATGTATGCGCTCTAACTTCTTACTGGTATACGAGCTATGAATTTCGCGACACTTGCGTTCTAGCGCCTTTTATCAGCCCTTATCAGTTGTGATCACTTTCTTTACCCCACCAAATATGTTCCCGTCCCACCCCCTATATCATATCTTGAAACCAACTCCTGACGACCACTGGTGCCCGAGCTATGAATTTACGCGACGCATCCCCCTAGGACAGGGTGTTCGGGCCCTTCTAATACCCGTTCTGCCGTGTCCTCGGTGCTCCGCCACCGATGCGCTTCATCCACCACCACCTCGGGGGCGGTCGCGACATATGTATATTGCAACATAGTATAACTGTAAACGACATGGGTCACGGTATGATCAAATATGCTCCAGTTTAGCAGAAGTTTTTCAAGCACAGCGGAATTGGCAGCTCGGTTCATTCCTCGTTTTCTTCCTATTCTCATGAACATGTCAGTGAGAAAAGGGTAGTGAAAGTAAATACAAACTTAAAGGGATAGAAAAATATATGTTTCACTTGGCACATCCACATCGAAAATAGTTTTGGCATCCACTACAGAGAAAAGGACCTTTTCATTACCATTACACGTTCTTTTGATCGGGATTTTGCCACTACATCCTCGATTATCTTCTACGCATTGAATATTGCTGAAATGGTTTTGTACCACTGGTGCTTTCCAAAAGTTATCATTCAAATTTACGGATGCCGAGGTGCGGCGGTCGCGCTCGCAAAATCGTCCCTGTCCCACACGGCCAAAAAAGCCAAAACGCGCGCTGTCCTCAATGTGTTTAATTTGACCTAAGCTAAAGTTCACTTTCGAACACAGAAAAGTACCTGAATTAGCCACATTACTGGATAGACAGCCACCATTGCGCCGATGGCCACAACCGAAAATAAAATATTCTTCTCATTCGGCGAGTAGGCATAGTTATGTCGAGCATAAACTGCCTGATCATGTTCCAGTAAATCCGACGAGTTGCCAACCTAAACGACAAAAATATGTACTTCGAGCTCAATCCCTCACAATCCTTACAACGAATCGGGAGCAGGTGGTGACTACATTCTTTTTAAAGGCATGGTCTATCGGAACATGAAACTATTATCTACACGTCTACTCGCTGTGAATAATGTGATAGTTCTGCTACCATTGCGATAAACTAAAGGCAGCCTGCACGACAGTTCGGTTTCGCATATAGCGCTTATGTATGATGAGGAGAGAGATGTCCAAGCAGGTTCGGTTCCGTTCCTTTGATTAGAATCCCTTCTGTATATTTACTAGTTGTTGCCCCCAATTCGAATGAATCACCGATAGGTCACCGTTCACGATTCCCTTGGCGTCATCAACAAAAATGAAGAGGAAGTGATATCTAATCGACAAGCCTTATAAGACCACCCGAAATCGTGCCCATGATCCCAAAAGGGCTCGACAGTTAAGAATGCGATAACAGAACTTGAACAGGTTACTAACCAGGAAGGTCTTTCAGGGCGTGCCAAGCTTTTTGAAAACGGTCTTTTGCATGATATAGGGGCACATGCGGGAACCACAGAACCATGGTTCAATTTTTCCTGAACGGCCCTCTGAATACCAGAAAAGGGGTCCCTAGTTCGATTCCTCGTGGTGACAAATTTTTGCATTTCGAGTTGACGTTCCAAAATTCGCGCAAAATGGAGTTAGCATGAATAATTAGTACCATATTCATGATTAGGACCGTCAGTAACCCTTACAAATAGACTTTGATTAAAAATTGGTGAAGAGGTGTGACACCAAGCAGCCCCACTGTGGTGTCACACCTCTTACACCAATTTTTAGGTCAAAGTCTTTTTCTAGACATCCGAAGTACATAATTTGAACCGCTGGCACACCATCCTATTCGTAAAGTTTAACACCGGCCTAATCATAAGACCTTATCGGGATTTCATCTACAGACCATTCGGTGTTGCCGCGTTCGGTAGTTCGATACCGACATTAAAAATACATAACATTTATTTCTACTGTGAAAACGTAAAACTTCACATGTCAAAAAGAAAATGACAGAAATACTTATGAAAATGAAAAAAATGAATGATGAAATGAAATAAATGTGATGAATGAAAAAATGAAAAAATGATGAATAAAAAAAATGAAAATGAAAAATGAAATGAAATGAAATGAATGAAAAAATGATCCATCCTATTCGTAAAGTTCTAAACACCCCCCCCCCCCCACCCCCCCGCGGCTACACCAATGACTTAGGCCGGAATTATCCATCTACCAACCCTTACGGTTGATTCGTCCGCGTTCGTAAGTTCGATACTCCGACAATAATAAAACATATACTAACATCAATTATATATCTAACTGTGAAAAACGTAAAACTTCACATGTCAAAAAGAAAATGACAGAAAATACTTATGAAAATGAAAAAAATGAATGATGAAATGAAATAAATGTGATGAATGAAAAAATGAAAAAATGATGAATAAAAAAAATGAAAATGAAAAATGAAATGAAATGAAATGAATGAAAAAATGAAAAAAAATGAAAAAAATGAAAAAAAAAACAAAAACAAATCAGAACAGTCTTGTGTTGCTCACCTCATAATAGGTGTCATTAGGTAAGGTTTGTAGGGTAGTGCCAGAAGTGCCGTATCGATCGATATCGATTGGATCGCCGGCCATACAAATAACAGTGAAATTCAACGTGAGAGTGTTGCTTTGCGCAATCGATAGACATAGTGTGCATAGAAGCAGAATAACAAAGCGTGTATGGTTCTTGAAAAAGAATCGATGTCGCGACGTGAGCGCAAGCCGATCACTTGGTCGGGTTACGGTAAATACCGTGCTGAAATTACAGTTGTTGGCAATCGCGTGGAAACAGCGTTCATAGCTGCTTTTAGCAAAAAAGTTTCCTTCAAATCAGTAATTTCTAAGAATTGTAGAAATAGCCCGATTTTAAAATTAGAACCTCTCTCCACTTACACTTACTACGCAAATTCTCAGCACCACGTCCACAACCTACATTGAAAATAGTGGCCCTCTTCTCATTGAAAATCTACGGGAGGCCCTCTTCTCAATGAAAACACGAGGGATGGCTGACCCTGTAGGGGGTTTCAGGAGACATTTCATATAAGAAAGGCACACATATTTTTCAGGCAGAATCGCATTTTCAATTTTAATCGATATTTTGATCAGCTCGGTAACCGCGGAGTAGATACATAGCTATGAAGCGCCTGCCTGCCAGAAATGTGGTAAGAGTGATTGGAGCAAGAGCAGAGGTGAAGACGTGTTTATTTAATGAAAAAAAAACAGGTAGTCCAATGTTTTTCAAATCCCTCACAACTCGTCAGCAGTATACCTATTTCCTTGAAAAATTGTTTACGTAAAATAAAAACATGCGCTCTGAAAATTATAGGCGCGGCCCACCGTCCCCCTCGCTGAACCTTGCATAACGGACAGTCGACCCTGGTCTCAACTGAGAGGGATCGTCTAATCCCTGCGAGTTACGTAGCAGTTAAAAGGTGTTCGGAAAGTGGATAAATAGTTTATGTGCTTAGTTAATCCTGCATTGCATTTCAGCTGAGCAAACTTTTTGAAAAGGGATCAAAATTCATTGCACACTTGAGATGGGATTACGGTAGTTTTCGGTTACAACCTCTCCCCATTCCTCAAGAAACATCACAAGGCACACATCAGTGCTAGATTTAGTGGGAGGGTTAGTCAGTGACCTTTACTATAAATAAATCAGTTTATTAACATTTAGAATCATGGAAACTGCTGATCGCCAGATAATGCCCCTCCTGGAACCCAGTTTCTGGACTCACTCGGACGATCGAGACTTATTA